TTCAAATTTCTTAGGATCGGTGTGAGACCCCCTATACGGATGTTAATGCTTTTGATTCCTTCAAATTTCACATTCCCAAGGATCGGTGTGAGTCCCTCTATACGAATGTTAAGGCTTCTGATTCAAATTCAAATTTCAGGATCGGTGTAGGGATTCCGATTCCTTTAAATTACACACATATTCCGCAACTCTCCACAAATTCTCATAAATCACACAAATTTCATAAACTCCCATAAATTTCCCACAACCCACCCAAATTCTACAAATCTTCCACAAATTCAAAAAAAAAAAAAACAAATCAAACTTCGAGGATAGGAGTAAGAGCTCCTTTGATGGATGAAAAGGTTTTCGGTTCCTTCAAATTCAAATTTCGGGGTCGGTGCAGCGATTCCGACTCTTTCAAATTTCCACAACACAAGATTAAATACAAAAACAAATCAAATCGACATTCAAATTTAAAAGCTCAAACCCACAATTACAATTTGAAAATGCACCTGTTGATCCATAGTGGAAACATTTGAAGATCTTCAATGCTCTGAGCATGTCTGCTTGGACAGTTCTTTGGGGTTTGTTGATCGCTTCGGTTAATACCAATACACGCGGTGTGCTTGCACTGCACACCACACATATTGAGGGTCAATTTGTTGATCTCATTTTTGCGGTTTTCTTTTCCCCTCCCTAGAGCCTATGATCTAGCTTTAGGTTCTCCCTGTTTGACCCTCTTAGAGAACTAGAACTGAGACCTACCTCACATAGAACTTCAAACCACTTCTTGACTCATTTTTTTGTGAAGAACTTGCATGAGTGATCCCAATCACTCAACTTTTTGTAAGGGTTAATGACTAACATGTAGAAGACTAAAAAATAAGTTCCTATAGGACTAGGAGGCCTTACGTGAACTCTTCGTGGCTTCATATGATCATGTTTTTGCGTTTTTGGGATTAGAATTTTTTCACCCATTTTTGCGTTTTAATGTGTTGATTCTTCGGTTCCTTTTTTTTTCTTTTACTTTTGTATGATATTATTTGATTTTTTTTCTAGATTTAGTTTTATTAGAATTATTAATATTTTGTTATTTCCTTTCGTTTATGGATATTTTCTTGTTTATGTATTTCCTTTTTTATGCCTTTCCTATTTTATAATTCTTGCATCCTATATTTATATCCCTTTTGATATCAATAGAATAATTCTGTTGAATTTCAACATGTTATCAGAGCCAAGGATCTAACCCTAGTTTTCACTGGGACACCATTCTAGCCGCCGACACTTTCTGCTGGTTTCCCGCCGCCAGTTCCCCTCTTCTATGTTGATTCTTCCCTTGTTAGGCCCTTACCCCGCATAGTTCAACCTTGGCTTCTTTGCAGGCATTCCCAGCACCTGTTTCTTCCATCTGCAGGCATTCCCAACACAAGTTTTCAAGCCTTCACGACTTATTTTCCATTCTCCAGGTGAGATACTATAAAAATTGATGACGGCTTCTATACTCATGTAGTTCCTTTTTGGGTAAATGGTTTGTTCTAATAGCCGGGATGACTTTGAAATTCATGTTACACATACTTTGTTGAAGTGTAACCTCTTGTCAGTCAGTAAGTTGATATATGATCTTGATTACGTTACTCATTTTTCTCTTTATGTTTATCTTTTAGGATCGTCGTTCAGGAAGAATGATTGGAATTTCTAAGCAGGTTGCTGAGCTCAACTTCTTCCATTGGAAAGCCATTGATGATGACTCCATTCAGTAGTTGTAGTTTTTCCCTGTCCAATGAATATCCTATTATACTTCTACATTGTCATTAGGGTCATCACAGTTTTCAATATTTAAAACAGTTGTATCATTTGATATTTATTAATAAAAATCTATCTAGGTTCAAATGTTAGATTTATCAGTTAGCTAAACATCATCGTGTCTCATATTCCCCATGCTTTTACACTCCTTTCTCTTCTTTTTCACTAATTCATAGTGACTTATGGGGATCCTCTCGAACTCCGAGTTACATCAATAAACGGTGGTTCATTAGCTTGATTGATAATCTCACTCAAATGACTTTGGTCTATATTAAAGACAAATCTGTACTTGCGGTCATCTTCAAAAAGTTTCACTCATTCATTTTGACCTAATTCAAAACACCAATTCAAGTTCTTTGGACCAAGAACGACTATGAATTTTTTAGCTCTATATTGGATAATTCTTTGTAAGTAAGGACATCCTTCATCATAGCTAGTTCTCAACAAATGGAGTAGCCGAGTGAAAAATCCAACAGTTTCTCAATGTTGTTCGTTTCATTATTTTTCAATCTAATTTCCTGAATGATGTCGTACTGTCTGTCACATATCTCATTAATAGAACCCTCACAAAAATTCACAACTTTCGGACCCCATTAGCCGTCTTGATGTTGTGTTTTCCTACCAAGCAGTTCTTCTCCACTTCAAACCCCAAAATATTTAGGTTCAAGACTTTTGTTCGGAACACTGGCCCAACTCATAGTAAACTTGATTCCCGTTCAATTAAATGCGTCTTCCTCGAATATTATGTCACTCAAAAAGGCTATCGATGCCTTTATCCTTTCACAAATAAACTTTATGTGATTGTAGATGTCTCCTTCTTTGAAAGTGTTTTCTACTTCCCGAACATTGCTTCAAGTGAGGGGGAAGCTAGATTTTTTGGGCACTATTCCTTTTACGACTCCGGTGGATATTTCAACTACACCTCCGACTATTGTTTCCGAGGAACCCTTAGTCCCACTGGATCTGCCACCAACCAAACCAACATCTCCTCCATCCACTCTCCGTGTTTATATTCATCGCATCAAAGCTTTTGCCTCCTTCCAGAGCTTGGAATCCGCTCCGGTTGACATCCCCAGAACTACTCTCTTAACTTGTGGGCAGTACTCATGCTTTGAATGAGGTGAGTTCTACCATTGAGTTACGCAATCAGACATGCTCTCTTTATTACATGAGAAAGTACATCTTATTTCACAGCTTATCACCGACCTACAAAGCATTATCCACTTTCTTGACGGATCATCTTCTTCCATCAACTAGTGAGGCAATATTGGCGGACACTTCCTGGAAGGCTGCAGTAATGAATGAGATGAATGCCTTTCGGCGAAACCATGTGTGGGATATTGTTGATCTTTCTCGGGGTAAGAAAACAATGGGTTTTTGACGGATTTTTAGCACCAAATGTAATTCCGATGGATCCTTTGGACACTTCAAAATGCGGTTGGTCAACAAAGGCTACTCACAAACTATGAAGTTGACCATGATGAGACATTTGCTCCAATTGCTAAATTGAACACCATTCATGTTTTGTTATCCCTTGCGGTGAATCTGTTTTGGCCCTTACTCTGACTGAATATCAAGAATGTTTTCTTTTACGATGATCTCACAGAGGTGTATATGTCTTTCTCTTTGGGCTTTAGCTCAACTTCTTCTTGTGGACAAGTGTGTCGACTGCATAAGTCCCTTTACGTACTGAAGAAATTCTTTCGAACCTAGTTTGACAATTCACGCAGGTGGCAGTAGGCCATAGGTTTTCTCAAGCCCAATTTGATCATACCATTTTCTTTTGAAATTCCTCCTGTGGTCATATTGCTGTCATCATCTTCTATGTCAACGATATTGTACTCACAGGTAATAATATGCCAGCCTGGGAGTCTCTTAAAGTCATTCTCGTCACATCATTTGAAATGAAGGACTTGGGGTTTCTTCAATATTCTTTAGGCATAGAGGGGCATTTGCCTTTTCCAGCATAAATTTTTGATGGATCTATTAACCAAGCCCAAACTTCTCCTTTGCAATATGGTTGCTATTACGATGGATTCCAATGAAGAATTGACAAATGTTCCCAATGCTAAACAAGACACACCACCAATGCCTTGTAGGTAAACACATTTACGTCGCCCATACACACTCCGACATTTGTCACTCTGTTGGTATTATAAGTCCGTTCATGCATGACCCCTATGAGCACCTTCTCATCGCTATCCATTCGATTCTCCGCTACTTAAAAGACATATCAGACTCAGGTTTGTTGTTCTCTCGCTACACCTCTCACTGTATTGCAACTTATGTGGACACTAATTGGGTCAGGTCCATCCATGATCGATGATCTATCTCGGCTTATTGCTTCATTATTTGGGAAAATCTTGTCACTTGGAAAAACAAAAAAACAATCGGTGGTTGCACTAGTAGTGCTGAAGCTGAGTTTCGTTTTATGTCCTTGGGAACATATGAAACTCTCTAGTTGTGCATCATTTTATGCGAGTTACATTTGCCTGTCTTGGTTTTTCAACAATTATTCTTTGATAATAAAGTCATTATTAGCATTGCTCATAATTCAATCCAGCATGATCGCACTAAGAATGTAGTGTTGACTGTCACTTCATCAAGGAGAAGCTCGATTCCGAGGAGATTTGTTTTCCATTTGTCTCATTCAGTGGTCAACTGACAGATATCCTCACAAAGAATCTTCATCGGTTGTTGTTTGATGACTTCAAATCTAAGTTGAACATGATTGACATCCATGCTTCAAATTGAGAGGGAGTATTAGAATTATTAGCATTTAGTCATTTCCTTTCCTTCTTGGATATTTCCAGTTTATGCATTTCCTTGTTTATGTATTTCATGGTTTATGTAGTTCCTTTTTTATGTATTTTCTAGTTTGTTTTTCTATTTTATAACTCTTATATCCTGTATTTATACCCCTTTTGATATCAATAAATTATTCTTCCGAATTTCAAAATGTTTCACAAATGTTTTCATGCTACATCGTCAGTTTTGTTGTGATATGAAACATTCTAAATGTTTCAATTTTTTTTTTGTTCTCTCTCTCTCTGTCTGTTTTTTTTTTTTGGGTATTTTAATTTATTTTCATGCAATGAATCTTTAGGATTTATTTGCATACAGCATTTGATCCTGATACATCCGATGCATATTGCATTAAAGAAATGCTTTTTTCTTGACCATGTACCGTCTTTAACTTATTAAAATTTCTATAGGTCTGAGATTCATGAAAACATGAACTGTACTCGCTGTAACACTAATGATCAAGAAGTGGAAGACGGTAATGCTTACTTACATGTTAGGAATAAACATTCAAGTGGAGATGGTCAGGCAAGTCAATTGTCTGATGACATCGGTGCATTTGCTGAAATTTCTGGATGCTTGCACAAGTTAAAACGCTCAGAAAGACAGGTTCAACAGTATAAATAATTTTTTATTAGATTAAACTTTTAGACATGTTATTTTCTTTTTATTTACTTTGTATCCCAATTCAGATTGGGTGCCCACTTGAGGAGGACTTGAAAAACTGGGGTCATCACTCCATCGCTGAAACTATTCCAGATGCAATTCTGCAAGCCTCAGCTGGTGAAGAGGTGCGGTGAATTCTTATATTGTTTTTATTTCTTGTTTCCCCTTTGGAGATGATCATATGTGAAAATGGAGATCGAAGAAAGCTTTTATTAAATTACTTTTTTAGTTCAGATTTTTTTTACTTCAATAATGAGAATGTCACACATCTTAAATCTAAAAGGATGAATACGAAAAATGGCTATAAATAGGAAAGACAATAATGACAAGTTAAATATGAAAAACTCTAATTTTATTCTTGGAAAAAGAGGGCTGTTAATCCCATGGAGCTGTTTTGTGGTTTTCAGGGGTTACCGTGTGGGGATAGTAGTGAGTGATGGTAGTGTGTATAAGAGTGTCTAGGGCTTGGCTTATTTGGGTAGGGCAAAGAGAGGCAAAACAAGAAGGAGAGAGTTCAGGAGCAGAATTTGTTTGACTGTGTTCTTTCTGTCTGATCTTTCATATAGTTTATTAATTCTGGAAATGTGTTCAATTTTTTGTAATTTTCTTTGTAAAAGCATGAATTAATTTAATTTGCTTTAGATTTGTGGTGTTTTAAACTGGATTGTGTAATTCGTGTTTTGAAGGTATGAATACATTTTCATATTTCTTTTTTATTATTTCACTTCAAGTTTAATTTAATCGTGTATTGGCCACGTGTAATATTAAAATTAGTGTGAACTATAGACATCAAAAAGGTCATAGTGGAACAAACAAGAATAAAACACAGGTCTTTAGATATATAAGCTTATAATATTTGGAGATTTGCAATCTATTGAGAAACATTTTTACTGCAATCATTTGATCAAATTATTACCGGAATATAATTAGTTAATAAGAGTGATTGGATTTTTTAGTTTTCCTCAGAGACTAGGATATGTTTATGTTCTTGTTTAATAATATTTGGAGGGAAAAAAATTAGTCTAAACATTAAGTAACATAATTTAAGATAATAACAAATTTAGGGTTCTCTGTCACTTAAAATTACAAAATCATTTTGTAGTATAGGTTTTTCTAAATTTAAATATCCTAAAATTCGAAATTGTTGAATAAAATTAGATAATATAAAATAAGTAATTAGCTTGGCAAAATTTCAAGTTTGATTCTCATGGGAATGATCCGATTTTTTTGTATTATTTGAACAACACGTGCACTTGGGTGCATCATTTAGTTCAGTCAACAACCATAAGAGAAAAAAAATCAAAATGTATACTCTTTTCACTATGTAGAATATAAAGTTCCTTTAATTTCCAAAAAAAATTACCAATTATCTTCAAGATGAATCTAATTGTGAAAATAAAATCTCCGATGAGATGGAGAAACCATAGTCATGACAGACACTAGAGATCAAATAACAATTGAAACCTAATTGCCGTAGTAGATTAAATTTAAATATTAGATATTGTTGGATTTTTAGTATCTCCTATTATTAGTATTTACTTTTTTTAGTATCCTCTAGTATTGATTTGTCATTATTCTTGTTTCCTTGTTTTATTGTAGGAGTTATGACTGATATTATTATTTTCTCAATATGGGAGACAGCTTTCTCTATTTAATTTATAATAGTTTTACCATGAAATTGAAGTGGAACAATAATTTTTACTCTCCTAAAAACTAGATGGTATCAAAGACATAATAGGTTAGCCCAGGGATTCATTCATATTGTGGCTCGGGCTCATGCCAGCTTCCTCAACTTCATCATCCTCTTTCTACAACGCATTCCTTGACGTCTGTTGACCTCACTTTTGGTTGAGGTCTAGAAACTTTTTTAGTAGCCTAGGTCTAGCCATAGGACTTTCCTATTGACTAGTCTTAGAAAACTAGAAAAGGTATCCTCACCATTAAAAATTCAAACTCTTCTCTTTGCTCAACTTGAGATTCTACATATTGGTCCTAACCTCTAATATTTAAAAGGTAAGATCCTTATGGGAAAGCTCAAGAAGAGTTCTTATAGGGTTACTTGGCCTTAGGATTGACCCTGGGTGTTGATTTGAAACTAAGGTACATTATACCCTTACTATATCTTCACAATACACTAATTAAGATCAATACATGAGAGCCCAAAATGAGGATTTCATTGATCCATGGTTCATTTAGAATGGATATCTATCCAATTCTATTTGAAATACCCAACTTGGCCTTTTGCCCCGAGGCACCTCCAAATTACCTAACTGCCCTTGGGACCCA